ATCTCTTTTTAGTTTAGAGTACAGTAAGTAGTGAATGTGGCTGTATTTTCAATCCCATGTCCTTCTTTCTTTATCCCCACATACATATAGTAAATGCTGGAAACTCAGCAATCTGCCTAAACGCAGTAGAGCAGAGCTGTGTTATGATGTTTTGATAGCTTTGCAGGCAGGCAGAAGGTGAGAGTAAATTCCAAACTCACCACATGGACAAACTGATTTTGCTCAGCATCTGACAGCTGGTGGAACTTATACGGACTAATGTCGATTAGCGATGACACGTGACCATGGTAAGCACTGCAGACAGAGTAAACACAGACTGGAGGATCATTTACAACATTTGTGTCAAACCAGTTTTCAAGGGCCTGCATCCTGTAACTATTATTTGAGTGTCTACTACATGAATCAATTCAGTAGAACAGGCAATTCTGCCATCTGAATGAGGTTTGATAAAAGTTGAAGTTTCCTAGCCCTTGAAGACTGCGGTTTGACACCTCTTATTTAAAATATCATGTGTTTTTGTACTATGGATCTGATGTAAGAAGGTGCAGAGCATGCATTATCACTGAGATATGATGGGCCTTACTTTTCCAGGGTAATGATATCTTTGTGGCCTGTGTACTGCCATGCAAGTCGGAGGGCCAGGTCATTGGCTTCAGAGCTGAAGGGGGAAAGGGTCACATTAAGTTACTCAGTCACCACAAAATACACATGTTAAGCCACATGGACGTCATTCCTACTTTGTTGTTTCAGCTCTTTATGTATGGATCGCAGAAGCTAACGTCTGTTTATTCTTTCCAAATACATAATTAAATGCTTATGAACATATGAAACCTCACATTTTTTTTATTTCTAGATTCAATTAGTGCTAATGATTATTTTGCAAATCTGCCGATTATTTTTTCGATTGATCAATTAATGTTCAGATAGCCAAAGGTTCCTTAAAGAAGATTCTTGGATTTAACATACTGATAGACACTTTTTTTTAAAATGCTAAATACCAAATGTTTATATATTTTTTTTTACAATTTTGTTATAATTACTGCTCAAAGTGGGTCGCACTGTCAGCTAAAGGCGTGTTTTAGAGTCTCTGCTCTACAGTTAACAATAAATCGACTACTAAATTAGTTGACAAATATTTCAATAATCAATTAATCACAATTAATCGATTAATTGTTTTAGCCCTAGATTCAATATTATCTTTTTAACTTTATTTATACATTCAAAATACCTAAACTTTGATACTTGTTGTCTTATTTTGTCAATTTACAATCATTATGTTGCATATATTTTGCTAGAGCAATGCAGAGTGGAAGGAAAAT